TCAATATACAACTTTTAAACTCTAATCTTCAAAGTTCTTGCTCTCTTCGAATCTCTTTTGATTGCTTGTTTTTCAACGGATAACGATTTGAGCTGTTGATTGCTTAAAAAGATTTATTCATGAAAAACTCCAGAAACGAGACTTGTTAGAAATATAAGTGTATTGTTTGTTATAATCAAAATAAGTGGAACTATATTGAATCATAGGTCAACAGTAAAGTCTGGTATGGACGAGAATACCCCTACTTAAAATGGTCAAAATATCTCATTTTTGTATTTGGTCAACTGAGGATTTTATAGATGGTTTTCCTTAATGTGGACTCCAGGTACAAATTTATGGAAGGTTAGAGACATTCTTTAGCACAAATTCAAGGTTGGAGTAAAGTTTACAAAAATTGAAAAGGATAAATATTGTTGCTGCAATTTCCCAAATTCACATAGAAAAGAAGTTACTGTGCTTACTATTATTATTATTTTTTTAAACATAAAGTAGCAAAATGGCAAGGGATCAATAATTTGTTCTATATTGCTTTTTTCTATGAGTATGTTTTGACTGCTATAGTAGATAAGGAATCACCTTATAAACAATATTTTAAAGGATTTAAGTATTTGTTGACCACTCAAAGATTTTTAAGTGCTTTAGTTTATGTTTAGGAATTTTCATAGTTTAGAGTGAATATTGGTATTTATAGTTTCATGGTTCTAGCAGACAAGTTATAGTTTGTTCTTTCTAGACGTGACATGCCTCGTATTGCATTTTTGCCCTAAGTCACAAGTTTAGGTAAGTATTTGCTAGTTGGCCTTCTATGTCGAGAAACATATGCTAGTTGGGCTTTAATGTCGGGTTTTGAATTTTATTAAGGTCAATGTTTGCTATGTCAAGTGTAATAAGCTAGATTTACATGTTTCTTTTTGCTTTGTTGAATTATGTTTATCTTCTATTAACAGACTCATGACCATATTGTATTAAGTTTAAGAGTTGAGTGCAATACTTCTCATGCACACGTTCCTCAATTTAACTTGAACTACTGAAAACGAATAAGTAAATAGTCTTTATAGTATTACTCGAACTAATTTAAAAATGAAAGTAATGTTGTTCTTTTTGGGATGAATTTCACGTAGACTCTATCCCAAAAAATGTCTCTCTCATGTGGTCAATAGATAGTAACTCCATGTAGGTTCCACCCTGCGCAATGGAACACACTGTAAATTACTTGTGGCATGTTCTAGTGGTGGCGAAAGCGATCATGAGCACTCCAATGATCGAGTCAGTCGATGATATAAAAAATGGCGGAACATTCCGGAAGCAGGAACCGCCGAAAAATCGATATAACGGTGATATGAAGAGTGCAATATATCTATATTGGTTGGAGTTGCATTACCTTTAAAGTGACACTAAATGTCAGTATATATAGGGAAAGAGATGGATTTTGGACTGTTAGATGGAGGGGCACGTGACCTCATCTGCTGACCGAAATGTCTCCTCCTATGTATCAAACAAACTGTCTTTATGTGTGGGCGAAAATCTATTTCCTTCTGACAAATAGATTCATGACTTAACTTTTTGGTGTCTTCTGTACAAACCTCAAATCAATCAATCGTATAAAGATTATATTTTAGATAGATTTTTGTATAAAAGGTCTTCTGATTAATAGAGATGAGGTGACATGATTATTTCAGCAGCATGTGTTGTCCTCCTCCCCCGGGGATTTTTTTTTTTAAAAAAAAGCATATTAAAAACATAAATGGAGGCTGCCCCTATCGCCGCCTCTGTATCAACAATTAAGATAGAACAATATAAAAGTATGTTCGTCATGCTAATCGACATCCTTTTTGACTAAATTCGGTAGTGG